GAGTATAATGGTATGATCATGGCTCACTGCAGCCTCAACCTCCTGGGCTCAAGTGACCCTCCTGCCTCAGCCTCCTGAGTAGCTAGGACCACAGGCACATGCCACCACAACCTGGCTAACTTTTTAATTTTTTGTAGAGACGGGGTCTTGCCGTGTTGCCTAGGTTGGTCTTGAACTGTTGGCCTCAAGAGATCCTCCCACCTCAGCCTCTAAGAGAGGCTGGAATTACTGGCATGAGCCACTATACCCAGCCTAGTTGCAACCTATTTGTGCCCAAGTTTATTGGTGAGAAAAGGAGGGAACTAGATTGGCACTGTGAAACAGCTTCAAGGATAGAGTTAAGGGATTCGTTTTATTGCTATTTGTCTATCTGCTACTTTCCTGCACTTCAGAGATTTTGACTTCTAATGAGAGTCCCTTTTATGGCTTTTTATAATGTCAATTCTAGGGATTCAGCCATGATTTTCCTGCCTGCCCTCCCATGACCATATACCTCATCCCCACCTCTGCCTGTGTTTGAACATAGAAGTGCATACACGCACACACACGTATACACGGACACCTTGATTTGGGCTGATCTCAGCATCCCAGGTATCTAAAGAATTTGGGAGTGACCAAAACTCTCCCCAAATGCAGATAAGCTATATGTGCCTCAGCAAAAGATATCCTATGAGAGTTGTTTGGGTAGAAAGGAAGCAACAAGTCTCCTGACATCTTGGCAGCACCAAAAGACTGATAGTCTTCTCTGTCTGCCCTTCATTCCCTTGTGTCTCCCCTGTGTTACTCATATAGACTAGAATGAAATGGCTTTAAGATTTTAATTTTTCATCCCCCTACTGATTTATCTTCAGCATTGATCCACTTACCGCTATTTGTGATTTTTCTCCCAGAGGTAGATATGCCTGATCATGAGCCCCCCAGCCTGACCAGCTGTCACCACCAGCCTCACACAGCTCACGTGGTACCCCATACCTTTCAGATATATCTCCTGATCCATCTGCCCTTCTGAAAGATGTCCCAGCAAGGCGAAGCTGGTGCAGTGCTGAGGCACCCCCTCAGGTTCGTAGCCCAGCTCCACCTGCCCCTTCTCCAGGGCATACCTCCCATCCACAATGGAGCCCGTTATCACTTGCACCCTGCTCAGGTTTGCTGGATGGTTCAGAATCACTGTCAGGTGGTTTCCTATACTAAGGTTGTGTGTCCAAAAGAATGACTCATCCAGAGTGTAGGCCTCCCAGGGGAAATGCACGTCGGAAACCTGCATATCAGTGAAGACAGCTCCAGGTGGGTTGTTGGGACCATCAGCATTCTTTTTCTGAAGTGCTGTGGCCTTCTGCTTGTGATCAAAGGTGGTGTAGGAGACCCTGCGGTAAAATAGGAAAGGTTTGCAGAGGATTGGGCTTTCCTGGACCAGGAGCATACGGAAATGAGAAATCAGGCTGTCAAGGGGTTTCTCCTTGTAGAAGAGGAGGAGGAAATGGGCCAGGAGCGGGAGGTCCCTGCTGTGAAAGAGTTTGCCAAGGAAGCCCATATTGGAGAACTCCAGTAGCACCCATGAGTTGGACTTCATGGTGGTCACCCTTGAATGAATGTGGGTGACAAAGTTGGGGGCAAAAAAGGCATTGTCCTCTATTAACAGGAAGTAATCAGAGAGCTTTGTGGCAAAGCTCATGAGGAAGGCGTGATCTACGTTCTGCTTGGAGTAGAATTCGCCACGAAAGGCTTCATCTCTGACGCTGTCAACAGTGGGGTAGGCATCGGATGGAGCATGGATCATTAGCAACTGCCCTTTCAAGATCTGTGGGCTGAAGAGGCTTGAAATATGGGCAACAGTTTCTCTGAGCCAGGTGAGGTCAGAATCTGCCAGGTGGACCAGCACCGTGAGGTGTTTCTGCTCAGCCTTAGAGGAAACATGGAACAGGGAGACCAATGTGTACAAGAGGCTGCTTCTGTCCCCTTGCTGCACTGACGATATCCCCACTGTCAGCCATGCTGAGGAGAGGTAAAAATAGGGATGACTGTTAGTGCACAGTAATGTGACCATTGTCAGAAGGGTTAGGGGTTGGGATCCTATGGGGGACCTTCACTCTTCCTTCCTCCCTCTTATTTCCCACCTGTTTTTCCCTTTGGCAGAGGGGATGTTTACATCCTTGCTGCTCAAAGTGTAGTCCTTAGTCCAGCAACATCAGGCTCATCTGTAAGCTCATTTCAAATACAGAATCTTGATCCCTACCTCAGATTTAATCAGAAGCGGCATTTTCACAGCATCACCAGGTAACTTGTATGCACAGTAAAGTTTGAGAAGTACTAAGCTAGGTGATGCTGAGTCTCTGTGGGTTCTGCTCAGTCTTCTTTGAGCCTGGAACTTTGTGGCATATGGTTTAGGGGCTCAATAAATATTAGCTATTATTTTAGTTATCATTGTTGTCAATTATGTTATTATATTGTTGTCAATTATTGTCATCTTCCCAAAGCTGTCCTTTGAAGAAGACATATTAGGAAAAGGACTTCCCCTGGAAGTCAGGAGCCCGGAGTTTTTGTCCCAGTTCTGCTACTGATTGTGTGATCTTGAGCAAGTCCCTTCAGCCCTGAGTCTAGTTCCTGATCCATAAACTGGGGCAGTTGGACTATGTGACTCTAAGATCCCCTCTAATCCAAATGTTCTCTAATCTAGTGATTCCACCTCCTTTTTTTTTTTTTTCCCAAGACGGAGTCTCGCTGTGTCGCCCAGGCTGGAGTGCAGTGGCGCCATCTCGGCTTACTGCAAGCTTCGGCTCACTGCAAGCTCCGCCTCCCGGGTTTTTTTTTGAGACAGGGTTTCACTCTGTCACCCAGGCTGGAGTACAGTGGTGCGATCTTGGCTCACAGCAGCCTTCACCTCCTGGACTCAAGCAATCCCCTCACCTCAGCAAGTACCCCCACCTGAGTAGCTGGGATTACAGGCATGTACCATCATGCTTGACTAATTTTTGTGTTCTTTATAGAGACGGGGTTTCCCCATGTTGCCCAGGCTGGTATCAAACTCCTGGGCGGAGGTGAACCACCCGCCTCAGCCTCCCAAAGTGCTGGGATGACAGGTGTGAGCTACCACACCCAGCCCCATATCAAACTTTGATATCATTCGGAGTAGGCTATGGACCCACCTGATGCTTATTTGTGCGCCATCTGGAAGCCAATGCTGTGTGCAGGGTGGGCTTTACTAAGCATCAGTAAGTTCTGGAAGATGAGAGGACACCTGAGACCTGAGATAATGGCCCAGGGTTGGGGAAATCCCCATGAGGTGGCAGCTTAAGATAATTTATTGTGGCCAAGGAAAAGGAAAACCTCGCTGGAGAAGCAGACCTGGGTGCAGCTGCAGCAGCACAAAGCAAAGCCACCCAGTTCTTCTGACCACCAGTTGGAAGGGGCCTCAGGGTGGTGAGGATGGGGGACTATGATGCCCCATGCAGGGTGCTGCCTGCTTAGTCAGTGTGGGAGCAGGAAGCAGAGTCTGGATTGAGCCTCCTCTTTGCCATGGCACAAACTCTTTGGAAACTCCAATTACGGAGAGTCCTGCCCAGAGATATACCCATAAGGGCCTTGAAGACAGGACCAGGTATCCCTTGAGGGAAATTACCCACTGGGAGACAGGTGGACTCTCCCGGAGGCAGGTGTACAATCTAGGGCTGCCAAGTGAGGTGCGGTGACTGCTCTGCTTTCATTGGGTCTAATGATGGCCACATATACATTGAGGGTGTGCTTGTGTGTGTGTGTGGTGGTGCTCGTGGTAATTAGAAGTGGTTTGGTTTAGCTAAACAATTTATTGTTTTTTTTTTGTTGTTGGTTTTTGTTATTAATTAATTAATTTATTTATTTTTGAGATGGAGTTTCACTCTTGTTGCCCAGGCTGGAGTGCAATGGTACAATCTCGGCCCACCACAACCTCTGCCTTCTGGGTTCAAGCGATTCTCCTATCTCAGCCTCCCAAGTAGCTCGGATTACAGTCATGCACCAGCATGCCTGGCTAATTTTGTATTTTTAGTAGAGACAGGGTATCTCCATATTGGTCATGCTGGTCTCGAACTCATGACCTCAGGTGATCCGCCTGCCTCGGCCTCCCAAAGTGCTGGGGTTACAGGCGTGAGCCACCGCACCTGTCTGTTTGTTTTTGAGATGAAGTCTCACTCTGTTGCCCAGGCTGAAGTGCAGTGGTATGATCTTGGCTCACCGCAACCTCCACCTCCCATATTCAAGTGATTCTCCTGCCTCAGCCTCCCAAGTAGCTGGGATTATAGGTGTGTGCTACTATGCATGGCTAGTTTTTGTATTTTTAGTAGAGATGCGGTTTCACCATGTTGGCCAGGTTGGTCTCGAACTTCTGACCTCAGGTGATCCACCTGTCGTGGCCTCCCAAAGTGCTGGGATTACAGGTGTGAGCTACCGTGTCCAGCTGGTTTAGCTAAACAATTTAGAGCTGTTTGATCATTGTTGTCTAGGCCTTTACTTGCTAAAGATTCAGAATATACTGGAATGCATGATATGCTGAATGTAATGGTCTAATTGCTACCTTTCTGTTGTCTGTGTCTGTTAATGTGGAGGGCTGTGGAGCAAGTCTTCGTGGATAGTAATACTCTCCTTTGAATCCATCACAGTAGGATGAGAAGATGACAATACACTTATTCTGAGCCTGAGTGATTTCCTAGCAGATTCCATGGACACGAGCTTGAATTTCTAGATAGACTGATTTAAGTGGCAGGAAGTGAATGGATTACATAGAGCGTGGCTCGAAGGATGGTTGGATTGAAATGATGTAAAAGAGTGGAGGGCTAGAAGCAGTTCTCATTCTTCTGTGGCTTCCCAGAGTGATTTAAAGTCTGGCCTATGATGCAGGGAATCACTCTCCTTTTAAATAGATTTGGATGGCTCAGAAATGGGCAGCCCGTCCTGTTCTGAAAAGGATTCTTCACTTGCAGAAGAAAGAGTCCATAGCCCATGTGATTCAATTCTTATAAAAGCAAACCTCCTGGGTTTTCTCTTGAAGCTGAAATAGAAGACAACTGTTTCCCTTGGGCTAAGGAATCCTCTGGAAAAAGAACATATTGATGAGTGTTGGTTCTTTTGTTTTTAGATCACATGAAAGGATTAAGAGCCCCTACCTTGAAAAGAAGGTTGGAGTGCAGGTAATTTATTTTGCTACTTATTTGTGTGTGTGTGTATGTTTTTAAGCAAGCATTTTAATTGAGAGATAACAACTGTACAGAAAAGTACATACATCCAAGCATATAGTCATTTACAAAGTGAATGCATTTGTGTAGCTTCACTCAGATTAAGAAACAGGACAGTACCAATATCCCAGACCCCTCCTACCTCCTCCCAAAGGTAACCTCTATTCTGACTTTTGTCATCATGGGTTAGCTTTGACTGTTTGTGAACTTGAGATATAGAGAGAGATATATATCTATTCCTACCAAATACACTGCTTAAAAAAAAAAACAGAGAGGGAGTTTTGCTATGTCGCCCAGGCTGGTCTTGAACTCCTGGCCTCAAGTGATCCTCCTGCCTCAGTCTCCCAAAGGGCTGGCACTATAGATGTGAGCCACTGGCACCTGGTCCCAAATAGACCCTTTTATAATTGTTTTACTTTACTTAACATTGTATTTGTGTGATTTATCTATGCCGCTGGGTACAGCAATAACTCATTCCGTGTTATTTCTGTAAGAGTATATGAGAGAGAATGGCTGTTCCATTGTAAAGGATCATATAATACTGGATTTTTTTCTTAAAGCTGAACTATTAGATGCTCTTCTTGCAGCCATTGCCTATATCTAAATTCCCAATTCTCAAGATACATATTTGAAAAGGGCCAGTGGATGTCAGACTTTTCTGCTCATTGATAGCAATAGTCTGTCTTCTTGATAATGATAGCCAATATTTACTGAATACTTACTGTATCTGGGGACTGTGTATTTCTCAGTTCAACAATTTTTTTTTTTTTTTTTGTAGAGACAGAGTTTTACCATGTTGCCCAGGCTGGTCGTAAACTCCTGGCTTCAAGTGATCCTCCCATCGTGGCGTCCCAAAGCACTGGGATTATAGGCATGAGCCTTTGCGCCTGGCCAATAATTTTTTATTATTTTATTTCTATTTATTTATTGACTTTTGCGACAGGGTCTCGCTCTTGTCGCCCAGGCTGGAGTGCAGTGGCACGATCTTAGCTCACTGCAACTTCTGCCTCCTGGATTCAAGTGATTCTTTTGCCTCAGCTACCCGAGTAGCTGGGATTAAAGGCACCCGCCACCACACCCGGCTACTTTCTGTATTTTTGGTAGAGAGGGGTTTTACCGTGTTGGCCAGGCTGGTCTTGAACTCCTGATCTCAAGTGATCTGCCTGCCTTAGCCTCCCAAAGTGTTGGGATTATAGGCATGAGCCACCACTCCTGGCCTCAATAATTTTTTCTGGTTGCCTGTGACGTGTCGGGCATTGTACTGGAGGTGGAGAATGCATTAGCGAGCCACACAGATGCAAGGCTCTGCCCTCTTGCACTTGACATTTTCATTAGAGCTTCTTGATAACCTTTTGAATAGATACTACTATTATTTCTATTTTACAGGAGACTGAGGAACCAGAGAGGTTAAATTAGTTGCCCAATGTCACACAGCCAGTAAGTGGCAGGACCAGGATTCCAGCCAGGTCTGTCTGATTGTAGAGCCTATGTATCAGTCATCCGCTGCTGTGTAACAAATTACTTCAAGATGGAGTGACTTAGCACTGATCATGTCTTACTGCTCAGTTTCTGTGGGTCAGGGATTGACAGGGTAGAGCAGGGATGGTTTCCCAGCCCAGGTATCAAACATCAGTGATCAGAGTCTTCAGATAATGTCAGCCCCATAAGATCTGAAGATTCCCTTATCCATGTCTTTTGATACCTGGGCTGGGAAGACTCACATAGCTAGGGACTAGAACTGTTTGGCGTGTCTTTTTTGTTTTTTGAAACAGAGCCTCACTTTGTTGCCCAGGTTGGAGTACAGTGGCATGATGTTGGCTCACTGCAATCTCTGCCTCCCAGGTTCAAGCAGTTCTCCTGCCTCGGCCTCCCAAGGAGCTAGAAGTACAGACACGTGCCGTCAAGCCCAAATAATTTTTGTATTTTTAGTAGAGATGAGGTTTCACCATGTTGGTCAGGCTGGTCTCGAACTCCTGACTTGAAGTGATCTGTCTGCCTTGGCCTCCCAAAGTGCTGGGATTACAGGTGTGAGGCATCTCTATCTCTAAAAGTCTCTTTAGGCCAGGCATGGTGGTTTAGGCTTATAATCCCAGCACTTTGGGAAGCCGAGGTGGGAGGATGACCTGAGCCTAGGAGTTTGAAACCATCCTGGGCAACATAGGGAGATCTTTTCTCTACAGAAAATATGAAAAATTAGCCAGGTGTGGTGGCGTGTGCTGTAGTCCCAGGTGCTCAGGCTGCTGAAGTGGGCGGATTGCTTGCATTGCAGCCTGGGTGACAGTAAGCTCCCCTCCCCCTAAAAAAATCTCTTTAGTGTGAGTCCATCAGGATAGCCAGACGTGTTAAATGGAGACTCAGGGTTTAAAAGTGTATGTCCTACGAGAGAGCCTGGAGGAAGTCATATTGCTTGGCGATCTAACCTCAAAACCCATGAGATTACTTCCACCACATTCTGTGGTGAAGGTAATTACAGAAAATTGCCCAGGTTCAAGGGGAGGGAACATAGACCTGTCTGGTCAGTGGAGGAATTTTAATATCTATTTTGTAAGGAGAGCATGTACGGATGGGGTATATCGTTGTGTGGCCATCTTTGGAAAATACAATCTACCTTCGACTATATTCCTAACCTCTAAATGATAGCGTTAAGTTTTAAAAGTTTATTATGGGCTGGGCGTGGTGGCTCATGCCTGTAATCCCATCACTTTGGGAGGCTGAGGTGGGTGGATCAGTAGAGGTCAGGGTATCGAGACCAGCCTGGCCAACGCGGTGAAACCCCATTTCTATTAAAAATACAAAAAGTTAGCTGGGCGTAGTGGCGTGCATGTCGTCCTAGCTACTCGGGAGGCTAAGGCAGGAGAATCGCTTGAACCTAGGAGGCAGAAGGTTGCAGTGAGCCGAAATCGCGCCACTGCACTCTAGCCTGGGTGACAGATCAAGACTCCGTCTCAAAAAAAAAAAAAAAAAAAAAAAAAAAAAAGTTTATTATGAAATTAATTTTTGTTCATTAAAAAAAAAAAAAAAAAAATAGGCTGGGTGCAGTGGCTCTCCCTGTAATCCCATCATGTTGGGAGACCGAGGTGGGTGGATCACCCAAGGTGAGGAGTTCGAGACCAGCCTGGCCAATATGGTGAAACCCCATCTCTACAAAAAAAATTAGTCGGGCATCATGGCGCGCGCTTGTAATCCCAGCTATTGTGGAGGCTGAGGCAGGAGAATCGCTTGAACCTGGGAGGTGGAGGTTGCAGTGAGCCGAGATCACGCCATTGCAGTTGCACTCCGGCCTGGGTGACAGAGCGAGACACCGTCTCAAAAAATAAATAAATAAATAAACGTATACAGTAAAAAGCAGAAGTTTCTGTTCCCAACACACCTTTTCCAGAGGTAGTGTAACGTGTGGCAGTATCTTTCCAGACACACCTGATCATATACAAGTGTGTATTTCCAAGTAACAGTGGTGAGGGACCGCTGTTGGAGGTAGTCCAGGGACACCGTATTTCCACCCCCACCTTGTGCTCTTGATGGCACTGAAATGGTGGGCATAGGTATGTTGGAGTGACTCTAACAGATTTTGTGCCAGCATAATTTCAGAACTATTAGATGTATGATGAAATAGATTTCATCACCATGCCTGGCTAATATTTGTGTTTTTAGTAGGAATGGGGTTTCACCATGTTGGTCAGGCTGGTCTCAAATGAAACTATTAGATGTATGATGAAATAGATTTATTAGTCACCAAGATGGCTCATTTTGGATTGTACTGAAAGTTTTTCTTTTTTCCTTTCAGCTTGAAGGTTTATCTATACTGTTCACCTGTGACTAAGGAGTTGTTGTTAACTAGCCCGAAATACAGATTTTGGGAGAAACGAATTGTAAGTTTTATTTTTTGAATAACTTAATTTTTTTTAAGTGGGAAGTATTTTTAGAGGTAGATTGACAAAAACATTGCCTCAGTTTGTCACATACTACTACAGTTACCCACATTAATTAGAATATTGAGTCTCTGGCCGGACATGGTGGCTTACACCTGTAATCCCAGCACTTTGGGAGGCCTTGGCGGGCGGATCACTTGAGGTCAGGAGTTCATGATCAGCCTGGCCAACATGGTGAAACCCTGTCTCTACTAAAAATAAAAAATTTGGCCAGGTGTGGTAGCACACACCTGTAGTCCCAGCTACTCAGGAGGCCGAGGCAGGGTAATTGCTTGAACCCAGGAAGCAATGGTTGCGTTGAGCCGAGATCACACCACTGCACTGCAGCCTGGGCGATAGAGTGAGACTCCATCTTTAAAAAAAAAAAAAAAAAATTAAGTCTGTTGGCATTGAGCAGTATGGTAGAAGTCAACATTTGGTGGCTGTTGATATGTTTTCTTTGTTCCTCAAGAGTGAGATCTAGGTCTTTAGTTTTGTTTCTTTAATCTCATTGACCCTCTTGCTAAGATGCATTTTAATATTTTCTTTTCTTTTTTTTTTTTTTTTGAGATGGAGTCTCACTCTATTGCCCAGGCTGGAGTGCAGTGGCTCAAACTCGGCTCACTGCAACCTCCGCCTCCTGGGTTCAGGCAATTCTCCTGCCTCAGCCTCCCGAGTAGCTGGGATTGCAGAATTCCGCCACTATGCCCGGCTAATATTTGTGTTTTTAGTAGGGACGGGGTTTCACCATGTTGGTCAGGCTGCTCTCAAACTCCTGACTTCAGGTGATCCACCCACCTTAGCCTCCCAAAGTTTTGGAATTACAGGTGTGAGCCACCACACCTGGCCACATTTTAATATTTTAGAGTGTAAAGTGTTCATTAACATAGTTGCTAAATCCTTTTATTTAAATTGTGGGATAGAACAAGAAAAATAAACATAAATTACAGGCTATAATAAGGAAGGGATGACAGCTAGAAGAATACAGATAGAATGGGTAACTTTCGGTCTGGCAGAATAGAACGCATCTGTCCAAGTAGTCAAGGGGAATCAAGGGGAGAAAAAAGTCTAGTGCACAGAAAATGCAAAGAAGGCAGAAAAAGTCTGATTGTAACAGTGATTACTATATATAGGAGAGAATTTAATTCTATCTTTGATCAAAAGACAAATTCTCAGTTTAAGTTAAAAAAATTAGACAAATCTGGCTGAACCCAGTGGCTCATGCTTGTAATCCGAGCACTTTGGGAGGCCGAAGTAGGCGGATCACCTGAGGTCAGTTGGAGACCAGCCTGGCCAACAGGGCAAAACCCCATGTCTACTAAAAATACAAAAAATTGGGCATGGTGGGGACTGTGCCTGAGCCCAGCTCCTTGGGATGCTGAAGCAGGAGAATCGCTTGAACCCGGGAGGCGGAAGTTGCAGTGAGCCGAGATCATGCCCCTGCGCTCCAGCCTGGGTGGTAGAGCGAGACTCCATCTTCAAAAACAAACAAAAAAATTAGACAAATTCGTCAGTATTAGTCTACAAGAGACATAGATAAAACAGAAGGATAAATACGGGTTGAAATTTGAAATTTGGGGGGAAGAAAAAGGGAAAAAATTACTAACCAATTAGAAGACAAAAATGTCAGAGTGGCAGTTTTTAATACCAGAAAGTAGACTGGAAGGCAAAGAAAGATAAGGTTTGAAGAGGGTGTTACTGTTAAAAGGAACCGTGGGTCATATGGACGTATGTGCAGTTGACAAAATAACCTCCAACTGAAGTAGAAAGTGCGAGAATCTGTCACCCAGTGCTTGATCTGAGGAGAACCACAATGAGTTAACAGAATGTGGGTTCGTTATGTGGATTAGGTCTTAAATCGTTGTGGAAGTTGGCAGAGCAGTTTGTCCCAGTGTCACGAAGAGTCTGTTTACTCTTTTTTTTTTTTTTTTTTTGAGATAGTCGCACTCTGTTCCCCAGGCTGGAGTGCAGTGGTGTGATCTCAGCTCACTGCAAACTCCGCCTAATGAGTTCAAGCAATTCTCGCTGCCTCGGCCTCCCTAGTAGCTGGGATTCCAGGCCTGAACCACCATGCCTGGCTAATTTTTGTATTTGTTAGAAGAGACGGGGTTTCGCCATGTTGTCGAGACTGGTCTTGAACTCCTGACCTCAGGTAATTCTCCCACCTCGGCCTCCCAAAGTTCTGGGATTACAGGTGTGAGCCACTGTGCCAGGCCTCTGTTTGCTCTTAAACTGCTTACAGCCAGTGCCTCCCTCCTGCCCACATTTGGGCAAGCTGACAAAAAGGCCATGCCTGCCTCAGCACCGAGGTGAAGTTCAAACCAGGCAAGTCCAGGCCACCCCACGCCACAGTGGAAACCAGGGCTAATTGCTCCTGCTTTCTCTCAAGCCACAGGAAACATTTCTGTCCCCAGCTCAGGGACTGCGCTGCCCTCCCCGAAAGTCCTGTGATGTGACTGAAGTTTTCTTCTTATTCTCTGCCGTGTGTGTTCGCGTGTGTGTATGTGCATGCGTGTGTGAGTATGCACACACACAGTGTGTGCACGTGTGTTTGTGTGCATGGTATCATCCACCTCAACGTCTGACCTTTGATTGGGAAGGGGATTTGTCCTCCCTCTGCAGAGCAGTCACAACAGCAAGGCTGTTCCTGTTGTCTCTGGCATTCAGCTTGAAGTTGCTACAGGTCAGCCTGGCCAGCAGTCAGGAAGGAAAGCTGGAAGAGAAGCGGAGGGGAGCAGAGACAAACTGGAAGGCAGAATGGCCCACTAGAGCCCAGCAGGACAGACCAAAACCCACTTCTGTCTCTCACTTCCTCCGGCCTCAACAGTGCTGGTCTCCCGCTTTGGCTCTGAGGCACATGCACCTTCCCCAGGACTCGGAGGAGCTGCACACAGGCACCCAGCAGAAGCTGGTGTTGCTGCGGTGCTGCCCCAGTCTCTGAGTTAAGTCAGAAGGTCAACAATGTTCATGAGCTGTTACCATTTCTGGTGCCCTTCAGAGCATTAAAAAAAGCCTGCTAGTTCACATCTGCCTTCCGAGTGTTTACTGTGGGCAACAACATGGATAGGGGTTCTAGGAAATAGTTCCAGCTTAGATGAGTTGACATAGTACAAACAAGGCCACCACAGAATTAGGGCGAGAAATAGGAAATCAACAGTTGTCACTAGAGAGCTTAACATGTCCCTCCCAGATGCTGAAAGGAGGAGGAGACAGGAAATAAGATGCAGAAAATTTGTAAATGTGGACTAACAGAACTTTAAAGGCAAGGAAGAAAATCGTATTTTTTGGGGGTGCTCATGACATTTACAAAAACTAACCATGTACTGTGTCACGAAAGAATACAATGATGTTGGAGATCAGAACAAAGGGACAGCTAAAATCTTCCCATACATGTGGAAACTAAATGCATACAATAACTGACCGTTTAATTAAAAAGGAAATTGTACAATAAAGAAAACATGCAATATGTAGAACTGGCCAGGCGTGGTGGTTCACGCCTGTAATCCCAGCACTTTGGGAGGCCAAGGTGGGCAGATCACGAGGTCAGGAGATTGAGACCATCCTGGCTAACACGGTGAAACCCCTTCTCCACTAAAAATACAAAAAATTAGCCTGGCCTGTTGGCGGGCTCCTGTAGTCCCAGCTACTCTGGAGGCTTAGGCAGGAGAATGGCGTGAACCTGGGAGGCGGAACTTGCAGTGAGCCAAGATCGCGCCACTGCACTCCAGCCTGGGCGACAGAGACTCTGTCTCAAAAAAAAAAAACAAAAAAAAAACCCAAAAAACTATACAACGTGTAGAACTGATATAGCTAGGCTTGGGGGCTCACGTGTGTAGTCCTAGCACTTCAGGAGGCCAAGGTGGGACAATTGTGTGAGTCCAGGAGTTCGAAACCAGCCTGGGCAATACCACAAAATCGCATGTCTACAAAAAAAAAAAAAGAACCCTTAAAAATTAGCCTGGTATAGTACTGCGTGCCTGCAGTCCCAGCCACTCAGAAGGCTGAGGCAGAAAAATCACTTGAGCCCCGAAGTTTGAGGCTATAATGAGCTGTGATTGCGCCATTGCACTCCAGACTGGCTAACACAGCGAGAGCCTGTCTCAAAAATAAAGGAGCTGATGGACAATGGAAACGTGGTATGTCAGAATGTGGAACACAGTTAAATTTGTCCTTGAAGAGAAATTGATAGCATTAAATAGATATATTAGAAAAGAGGCTGGGTGCAGTGGCTCACACCTGTAATCCCAGTGCTTTGGGAGGTTAAGGCGGGGGGATCACCTGAAGTCAGGAGTTTGAGACCACTCTGGCCAATATGGTGAAACCCCATCTCTACTACAAAACATTAGCCAGGCATGGTGGTGGGTGCCTGTAGTCCCAGCTGCTCAGGAGGGTGAAGCTGGAGAATTGCTTGAACCTGGGAGGCAGAGGTTGCAGCGAGCTGAGGTCATGCCACTGCACCCCAGCCTGGGTGACAGAGCGAGACCCTATCTCAAAAGGAATAAATGGGGAAAAAGCCATTTCATACATGAAAATGTAGGAATCCTCATAAAGATGGTAACTGAATCTGGCAGTATTAAATAGCACATCCAATAAGATGTTTTATTCCAGAAATGCAAAAATATTTTAACACCCAAACCTTAGACACTGTAAGTTTTAGGACATTAGTGGACTAAAAAGATGAAAAATCACATTCATCTATTCATCAGATACTTACTGAATGCCTCTTATGTGCTAGTAGTCTCTGTTCTGATGACAGGGGAAATGTATCAGGGAGCATTCTGTAGCACTTAGAACCAGTGCATGAGGCTGGGTGCAGTGGCTCACGCCTGTAATCCCAGTACTATGGAAAGCTGAGGCGGGTGATCCTGAGGTCAGGAACTCAATCCTCAGGTGATCCTGAGGTCAGGAGTTCGAGACCAGCCTGGCCAACATGGCAAAACCCTGTCTCTACTAAAAATACAAAAAATCAGCCTTGCGTAGTAGCGGGTGCCTGTCATCCCAGCTACCTGGGAGACTGAGGCAGAAGAATCGCATGAACCTGGGAGGCGGTGGTTGCAGTGAGCTGAGACCACACCACTGCACTCCAGCCTGGGTGACAGAACGAGACTCCGTCTGAGAAACAACAACAACAAAAAACAGTGTATGAAGTGTCCATGTCATGGACTCACGCAGACTGTGTTCTGAGGCACAAAACTTAGCACACATGACCACGTTTTTACAAAGACTCAAAATTCAGAGGGAGAGGGGAATGGGAGTGGTAGGGATGGGAAGATGGAGGAAAAAATGAATTCATGGAAATAGAATTGTGTCAGAGGATTATATGCATTTACAAGGCATTTACTACATATTGCCAAATCTGCCTCAAGACAGGTATTATTTTGGCTTTACAATTTTTTTGTAACTGTTAAAATGTTTATTACAGTGTAATCAGAATTATTTATATAGAGAGTCTGAAAGTTCTCTTTGCCCTGTTTCTGTGTTTCAGATAGCAAAGGCATATAAAGCCATGAAAAACTGGTATATACATGGTCTCTTATTTTATTTTTATAGATATCTATTGAAATCGAGACTCCTACCCAGATATCTTTAGTGGATGAAGCATCAGGAGAGGTAACTAAATATTAAATATTGATTAAAAAAATAGTGCTAAAATGATTGTTTATCTTTCTCTTTGATTTTGTAGTCAGATGCTCTCCCCCTCAGCTATGCCCTCAATCTTTCTCTTTGATTTTGAATGCTTATGTAACCATAAATAAAAATCTAATAATTGAGTGGGGTTTTAGGGGCAAAAAAATCCATTCGAGATTGTGTCACTCCATTTGGGCTGGACTCACAAAACTACCATAGACTGAGTGGCTTATACAATAGACACTTGTCGCTGAAGGTTCTAGAGACTGGAAATCCAAGATCCAGTCTCCAGCAGATTTCGTGTCTGGTGTGAGGGCTCATTTCCTGGTTCTTTTTTTTTTTTTTTGAGATGGAGTCTCACTCTATTGCCCAGGCTGGAATGCAGTGGCGTGATCTTGGCTCACTGCAACCTCCACCTCCTGAGTTCAAGCGATTCTCCTGCCTCAGCCTCTCTAGTAGCTGGGATTACAGGCGCCTGCCACCACGACCAGAGCCCAGCTAATTATTATATTTTTAGTAGAGAGGGGGTTTCACCATGTTGGCCAGACTCGTCTTGAACTCCTGACCTCAAGTGATCCACCCGCATTGGTCTCCCAAAGTGCTGGGATGACAGGCGTGAGTCACTGTGCCTGGTCACTTCCTGGTTCTTAGATGCTGTCTTTTCCCTGTGTCCTTCCAAGGTAAAGGGGCAAACGAGCTCCCTGGGCGTCTTTTATAAGGGCACTGATGTCATTCACAAGGCTTATATGCGCAACAACTAATCACCTCCCAGAGGCCTGCTAATAAAACCACTTTGGGGGTTAGGATTTCAACATAGGACTTTTGGGGAGGGACATGAACATTCAGTCCTTAACAGTGATGTATTTATTTCCCATGTTGTAAAGGATTGGGCATGGCTTATATTTTGTCACATTTATTCCTTATTACATGCTAATGATGGGAACCCTGGTGTTGATATTACTACATGATGTTATTGTCACATTTACTGAGTTTTATAATGTTCAGAATTTAAAATGGTGATTAATATTTTTGCAGCAAATTCATGTATATTGTACTTTTTTTCTGATTCCTTATTCAGAAAAGGGGCACTGCCAAGTGGGAAAAATTTATTTTTCATCATTAAATTTTGAAGTAGTACTTTTGTGAATGTATGGTTTGAATAAGTAGGACTATAGACATACCCCCCCACCCCCTTTTTTTTAAAACCTTACAGCTGGTAGGTATTTTCCTATTTTGGTTAATACTGGTTTTGTAGCTTGATTATAGCACACTGCTTTGCCATGTTTAACTTTGAGGGTGTCTTGTGTTGTTTGAGTATGATCTGAACAGAAACTGACTTTTTCAGATATTTCTTCTTTGGAGAAGATCAGACAGTTGAAGTTGAGGTATTCCTCCCATCAAATTATCCTGAGGGAGGACCACAGAGCCAGTTTAGGGAGGATTAAAAAGGAAAAAACAAGAAATAAAGGATAGGTGAACCTTTGTAAATGCCATCCTGGACTCTGCAAACTGCTTTTCCGAGGAATACTGTGATTGGTTTGTGGCCTTGTCACAATCAGGGATACTGGTGAAAGGCATTCCCTAAAGCTGGGGGCCGACAGCAGGCAGACTTTTGAGCAGTCTTGCCCCCACTTTGATTTTTTATGTTTCTTTGTGTGTGCCATGACTTTTGTGCATTGTTTATCCAACTCCAACCAGGGGGAGACTCATTTGAAAGGGTCTTCGAGAATGAATGGAGACTTCCGTGAGGAGTCACTGTCACCGCGCAGTGACCTGGTGTGTGCAGAGCTCTCCCCACTTACTGATGGCTGGAGAGGCAGTAGTGCCCACAGGTCTTGCCCTTGCCAAACAGTGTGACGTGCAGTGTGAATCAGGACCAGGCCTCATCCAGGCTTTTAAAGATTTTTTTTTTTTTTTTTTGAGACTGAGCCTCACTCTGTCACCCAGGCTGGAGTGCAGTAGGGCCATCTTGGCTCACTGTAACCTCCACCTCCTGGGTTCAAGCGATTTCTCTTGCCTCAGCCTCCTGAGTAGCTGGGATTACAGGTGCCCACCACCACGCCCAGCTAATTTTTGTATTTTTAGTAGACACAGGGTTTCACCGTGTTGGCCAGACTGGTCTTGAACTCCTGACCTCAAGGGATTTGCTCACCTCGGCCTCCCAAAGTATTGGAATTACAGGCGTGAGCCACCGCACCTGGCTCAGGCTTTAAAAGTTGTTCAAAAGTGGCCGGGTGTGGTGGCTCTCACCTGTAATCCCAGCACTTTGGGAGGCCAAGGCGGACATATCACTTGAGGTCAAGAGTTTAAGACTAGCCTGACGAATATGGTGAAACCCCATCTCTACTAAAAATACAAAAAATTAGCCAGGCGTGATGGCAGGCGCCTATAATCCCAGCCACTGGGGAGGCTGAGGCAGGAGAATTGCTTGAACCCAGGAGGCGGAGGTTGTAGTGAGCCAGGATCATGCTATTGGACTCCAGCCTGGGCGACAGAGTGAGACTCCATCTCAAAAAAAAAAAAAAAAAAAAATTAAATAGCTTTATTCAGATAGAAGTCAAAGTCACAGAATTGTGTATCCATCACCACAGTCAATTTCAGAATATTTTCAGCACGCCAAGGGAGAAAGCCTGTACCGATTGCAATCCCTCCCTATTCTTCCCCAACCCCCTGGCAACCACGACTGTATTCAACTCTCTGTCTCCATGGGTTCACCTAATCTGAATATTTCATATGAGTGGAATCATACAACATGTGTTCATTTCACATCTGACTTCTTTCACCAACGATGTTTTCAAGGGTCATCCATGTTGTAGCATGTGTCAGTTCTTTTTATGGCCAAATAATATTTCATTGTATGACTAGACCACATTTTCCTGATTCATTCATCAGTTGATAGACATTTGAACTGGTTCCACCTTTTGACTAGTATGAAGAATGCTGCTCTGAACAGCCAGGCACACATTTTTGTGTGGCCATCGGTTTTCACTTATGTTGCTTCTATAACTAGTGGTGAAATTGCTCAGTCCCATGGCAACTCTGTTGAGTGGACAAGGATTCCACTTGTTTCTAGGATTTGGAGAGTGAGGAAATTGGGAGAAAAGACACGTTGTTAAAAGGTACATAAATGTGTTCTACGAAGGAGGGCTTTGTTGAGCTAGGTCCTAATGATAACTGCTTTCCATTACTTTTTTTTCTTTATTTTCTTTTTAGAAGGAAGAGATTGTCGTGACTCTCTTACCAGCTGGTCACTGCCCAGGATCAGTTATGTAAGGGGGCTCATTTATTTTGTCATTTTATTATATGTAGATACATATTGTATTTGTAGAAATACATTTTTAGGGTCTAAAATTAATAGGGGGCTGGGCGCATTGGCACATGTCTGTAATCCCAGTGCTTTGGGAGGCTGAGGCGGGAGGATTGCTTGAGTTTGGGATTGGAGGCTGCAGTGAGCCATGATCGCTTCAGTGTACTGCAGCCGGCGTGGCAGAGTGAGAGCCCGTCTTTTTTTTAAAAAAAAAAACAAAGAAACAAACAAAAAAGAAAGAAATAACACATATAGGGAGATTTGATTATTTTTCTAGCCATTTAAAACACATTTGTTCCCAGATTGAACTAGGGGGACAGAGGGGAGATCAGAGTTGAAACATTTCTTATAAAATGGAAGTCTTCATGGCCAGGTGTGGTGGCCCACACCTGTAATCCCAGCACTTTGGGAGGCTGTGGCAGGTGAAACCCTGTCTCTACAAAAACTATAAACATTAGCCAGGTGTGGTGGCACACCCCTGTAGTCCCAGCTACTGGGGAGGCTGAGGCAGAGAATTGCTTGAGCCCAGGAGGCGGAGGTTGCAGTGAGCCAAGATTGCGCCACTGCATTCCAACCTGGGGTCAGAGCAAGACTCTTGTCTCAAAATAAATATAAAAATAAAAATAAATAAATGGAAGTCTTCAGCAGCTGTTTCCCCAGTGACCTTGTATTTTATCATCACATGTATTTCTCCATGAGCAAGAATGATCTCAACTTATAATTGAAAGTGCTAACATATCACAGGGAACATCTATTACAAACTGGGTAGCATCTCCACTCTGTTATTTTCTACCCGAGGGAAGAGGTAACAGCTAAGTGCCTGGTGTGGTTCTAATTACCATGAGATTCCATTACCATTGTATTATAATGGATATGTTTGCAGGAAGCATTTACTATGCATCTCACATGTATTTGCTTTATTGGGATTTTACATGAGACTCAGAAGTCACTGGGATATATTTCTTTTTCAGGTTTTTATTTCAGGGCAATAATGGAACTGTCTTGTACACGGGAGACTTCAGATTGGCACAAGGAGAAGTTGCTAGAATGGAGCTTCTGCACTCGGGGGGCAGGTACTGGGCCTTTTTTAGGCCTTTTTTTTTTTTTTTTTTTTTGGTGAGACAGAGTCTTGCTGTGTCACCCAGGCTGGAGGGTAGTAGTGCAATCCTGGCTTACTGCAGCCTCTGCCTCCAGAGTTCAAGTGATTCTCCTGTCTCAGCCTCCCAAGTAGCTAAGATAACAGGTGTGCGCCACCATGCCCAGCTAATTTTGTATTTTTAATAGAGATGGAGTTTTGCCATGTTGGCCAGGCTGGTCTTGAACTCCTGACCTCAGGTGATCTGCCCACCTTGGCCTCCCAAAGTGCTGGGATTACAGGCATGAGCCACTGTGCCTGGCCCCTTGTACAGTTCTTGTGTGTGTGACTGAATAAAGTTTTGTTCTGGCCGGGTGCGGTGGCTCACGCCTGTAATCCCAGCACTTTGGGAGGCTGAGGTGGGTGGATCACTTGAGACCAGAAGTTCAAGACCAGTCTGGTCAACATGGTGAAACCCCATCGCTACTAAAAAATATAAATATTAGCCAGGTGTGGTGGCGCACACCCGTGATCCCAGATACTTGGGAGGCTGAGGTGGGAGAATTGCTTGAACCCAGGAGGTGGAGGAGGGCAGTGAGCAACCCTGGGCCACTGCACTTCAGGCCCGGGCAACAGAGCGAGACTCCCGTCCTCAAAAACACCAAAAAAAAAGTTACACCAATTTATATCTGCACATGGATGCCAACATCAATATTTTTTCTTCCTTTCAGAGTCAAAGACATTCAAAGTGTATATTTAATACCTAACTGTTCTGCGACCGAGATGTTAACCAAATTCCAAGTCGGGTAAGTCGCCCTGGAGAAAAGGGTTTCAATCTGGGTGTACTAGTGTTTTTAGTAAGGCATTTGGAGGGTGAGCAGGTCAGAATCCTAGACGTCGCCCATAAGGCCGTGAGTAGACTGGATAGTCGGGAAAGGAAAAAGGCTCTGTGAGGCTCTCCCCTGTTAAAATGTCCTCTTAAAATCGCTTAATGGGGGTGTGTACAGTGGAAATCTTAGAAGATGGTTCGAAGCCTGGATCACTCCGGAGCGCCGAACCATGTTGTGGTGGCCTGAACCTGCAAAGCCGGGCGCCTAGGCTATGAATACTTGTTCACCAACCTTAAGGATAGAATTGAGAGCCAGGTACGGTGACTGCTTCATTCTTTTTTTTTTTTTTTTGAGAGGGAATCTTGCTATGTCACCTCAGCTAAGGAGTGCAGTGAACCGTGATGCCAGCTCCCAACTGCAACCTGCACCTCTGCGGTATCACAGCGAATTCACTGCCAGCCTCGCTGAGTAGGCTGGGACTGTAGGCCATGAGCACCAAGCCTGCAATTTTTGTTATTTTATAATACAGAGATGGGTTTGCCATATTGGCCCCAGGCGTGGTCTTGAACTCCCTGACCTCAATGGAACCGACCTGCTTACGGCCTCCCAAGTAGTGCTGGATTATAGCCAGTGAGCCACTGCCCCAGCCTGTTCATCTTTTTCTGTTTGCCTCGCCTTCCTTCCTCCGCATGCGTCACCTTTCCTCCTCCTCCTCTTGACCCCCAAATAACTGCAAACAGTGACAAATGGAAGCCAGAGATCACGCCACTGCACTCCAGCCTGGGCGACAGAGCAAGACTCCGTCTCAAAAAAAAGAAATAAATTGAATGAGGAGATACGGCGAGTGGATTGTTTGCAGTACAGCTTCATCTGTTGCATGTCATGTATATGCCTTAAGGATAGGTGATCCTTGATTTTTTTTTTTTTTTTTTGAGAGCTGTCTGCTCTGTTGCCCAGGCTGGAGTGCAGTGGCATGCCAGTTCACTGGCAACCTCCACCTCCTTCAAGTGATCTCTTTGCCCTCAGCCTCCCGAGTAGCTCGGATTACAGGCCTGTGCCACCACACCTGGCTAATTTTTGTATTTTTAATAGAGATGGGGCTTCACCATGTTGGCCAGGCTGGTCTTGAACAACTGACCTCAAGTGATCCACCGACCTCCGCCTCCCAAAGTGCTGGGAATACAGGCATGAGCCCTGGCGCCTGGCCAAGGGTAGATGATTCTTGATTGTTTTTGTCTGTGTGGATTACTGCTTTATTCCCAGTATTTAGAATAAAGCTCGACACACAGTAGGTGTACAAGGAATATTAATTGAATTTCTCTTGACGGACCGAAGGACAGTATTAACATCATTAAATGACATCCCTGAGCAGAATCTCCATAATTTTTCATTGCCATCAGTGATGGCAGTGATCCTGGCCAGTTGGCCTTGTGCCTGTTGACATCCTGGCAGAATACCAGAGCGTACTGAAATAGCCAAAAACGGCTTTTCAAGAAAGAAGAGAGGGTTAATTCACTAACTGGGTGTTTTGCCCTGAATGATTAACCTTGAACAATTTATAGGAAATACGTTTCAAATAATTTGCATGTACATATTATTTGCCTTAGGTTCATGTGAATAAGCTAGACATGTTTAGGAACATGCCTGGCATCCTTCATCACCTCACAACGGACCGCAACACTCAGATCCATGCATGCCGGCATCCCAAGGTACGTGTGTAAGTGGTTCCTCTCGTATTGTTTGCGTAATCTGTGAGAAAGAAGAAAGGTCAGGACCTCCATTTATAGGCTCTTCGCTTTACAAATGTAAAACCTGAGGCTGCAATCCTAAGTTGTTAGCTCAAGGTCATGTAACTGTACATTACCATATTCCATGACCATACTTGTCATCATTAGTAAATAGCCCCACAGATCTTTAAGTTTTCTTTTTTTTTTTTTTTTTTTTTTTGAGACGAGTCTCCTCTGTCGCCCCAGGCTGGGAGTTGCAGTGGGCTGAATCTCGGTTCCACTGCACGCTCTGCCTCGCCGAGTCACACCCGATCCTCTCTGCCTGTCAGCTTGCCGAGGTAGCCTGGGACCTACAGGCCCCGC